TGAAGGGATTGAAGGATAACTTCACAGGTTTAGTATTGGGTGTTAGGGAAGGGCCCCGCATGGTAGGTAACAGGGTAGTACTTAGCACAGTGATTCTTCATCATGTACTAGGCTCAATGATGCAGCTGTATTATCCTTCTAGAGGAGAAAGTATAACACAAAACCTACTTTCTCCCTTCTTAGCCCATTCATGCTCAGGGTTTGAGACCATTCTGCCGGCGACGCAGTAAATTGGTCGTACCTGCTTTTCCGGGGCTTGCAGCATGGGAAAAACGTTAGACAACGCCTTGCGTTATCATCAACTCAGAAACTAGGCAGGTGATTCGATCTATTTAGAACACGGTCTGGTCACTGGCTCCACTCTTAATCTCATACTGTTACTGTCGGCCATCATATAAAGCTCATGGCTGTTCCTCACTTGGAAACCTGCTGCGAATTTGGTAGAAAGATCCACGGAGATGAGACCAGCAACCTCTATCGAGGAAAGCCCGGCTTGTAAGCATATCAGGAGACTTCCACGTGTTCTGGCACTTTCCTGCTCCGTGACACATCTCCCAAGGTCCCGGGTTGCTTTGGATGCAGGGCTGAATTGATTGTTAACGTGTGAGATATCTGAAAGTCAGGTATGGCACTATACCTGTGCAATATGCCAGTTTCGAAGTGCCCGATTCGACCAAAAAAAAGATCCTTCATCACAAACTCTGCAAATCCAGCTAGTAACTATGAGTAGTACATGTACGGAATATCGAGACGTATTGAAGCATAAATCAACTTATGGAGGGAAACCGGTAAGTCTTTACCAATGAATCAATGATGCATGAGGCTATTCTAATGATTTAGTACCAATATAAGGTGTGTAAAGGTAGGCACAAACCGTTGCCAGGTGAGTCCTCCGCCCTTCCCTCCTCAGTATCCATGATTTACAGTATCTACTCCGTGGCTACCGGCAGCCATGACAAGTGGGGCGGACTGATAAGACCACTAGCATATACTGAGTATGAATGGGATGCCATTTTTATGTGGAGCAGCTTTGGAAAATTTAGCAGATGAAGCTTCCGGGCCAGGCAGAGGTGATCATTCTTGGTTACCCAAACAACTAAGAAATCTATCGAAGCGGTTCTTTCCTTCTATTCTATAAGTGTTGTACAGTACTGACCTCAGCCGATGGTGGCCGGATCGGGTGCTTACTAATAGCTATTTTTTCTACCTCCTCATTATTCCTCTCCATGGACACTATGTTTCCTAGTTGATCAAGTGAACAATTGAATGGACGTTTCCGTCAACTTACCTTTCTTCTGTTTCCTCGTGTAGAGGGAGCCATCAGTACTTCCAACTCACCGCTACCAGTCGGTATGCCACTTTACCGAATATGGAGATACCGTGTCCGAGGTGGACCGATACCGTGACCGTGGACCTCGAATATGACTAGCGAATGGCTTCTCCGTATTTCATTAGTCAGTGAGTAGTAAGTTACCTGCCGGGGTCATTTACTCTAGGTAGGGCAACCACCTACGTATGCGTGCTTATACGTATACTACTATGCTAGGTACCTACCTACCTTGAGTACTAACTGCATGAGGTGTGTTCGGAAGTAGCGTACCCGCGCACCGTTCACCAGCTTCTTCAGTAGCTGCCTTAGCTAACGAGCGCGTACGCCTGAAAGAAGATGTTGGAAGGCGACAAAAGTCCCCGAGCATGTTAGCGACAATCAATGTCTTGCAAACGTATTTTCTCCTACGGACCGGTTTATTTATTTCACCGCCGGAGTTAGCCGGTTGACAAGTGAAGAGAGAAGCTTGTCTGTCATGCGCAGCTTGAACGCCCAAAACAGTTAACTTCATGCACTGACTAACTACTTTTGCTGCGTCATCTTCCGTAAGACCAACCACACATGATCACCAACAGTAGCCAAGCACGCGGGTAGCTTTCCCAGGCACATTGCGAGGACCCAGCACGTGTTCGAGTTGCCATATCCTCAATCATCAAGATGTCGCCTGCGATACCCTCACGCAACGAATCGCATGTTCTGAATCAAGTGAGTCGTTGTGTAACAGGTTGTAGAACTTTAGACTGACCTGTCATCCTACTTAGATCATCATATCCCCTTCAGACACAGACTACCTGGATCAATTGATTCCGTCCATCAAAGAATACAGTATTGGCAACAGAACTTCCCAGCTCTTGCAGTCTTTGGCCAAATTTGCCAGTGATAAGGAGGCAGAAATAGAGGCCATTTGTAACACAAATCATCAAGAATTTGTTGCTTCCATCAATCAACTTCTCCGTATCAGGGAAGGTACGGTTAGCCTAACAGCCGAAATCTTAGACCTCAACCAATCCATTCAAGCAAGTACGGAAAGATTGGCAGAGCAGAAAAGAGCCCTGGTGGAGTCGCGCAGTCACCGGCAGAATATTGATGAATCGTCTGGCGCTATACAGGATTGTCTTGAAGTTCTGCGCCTTGCCAATCAAATCCATGATTTGCTTTCCAGAAAAAATCATTATGCGGCCTTACGCGCCCTGGAGGAGCTGCAGAATGTTCACCTTAAAGGCGTTACACATTATAAGATCGCTGAGATGATCCAACGCTCAGTGCCTGCCACGCAGAAGATAATTGCGGAAGCAGTCATGTCTGATCTGAACACTTGGCTTTACAGAATTCGTGAAATGTCTCAATACCTTGGCGAAATAGCTCTGTACCACACCGATCTACGAAAGTCGAGACAGAAAGAAAGAGCTGGAGCATTGCCCTACTTGGGACAATTCAAGCTCAACTCCGCCATTGAACTTGTTTCCGATGAGAGTGAAGAGTATGACTTACTACAGAACGACGAACTTCAGGTTGATTTTACGCCACTACTTGAATGTTTACATATTCATCGATCCTTAGGGCGTATTGACATGTTTCGCCTCGAATATGCCAACACACGCCGTCGGCAAAAGGAGCTCCTGTTACCTACATCAATAACGTTGATTGATGAAGATGGGGCTTGTCTTCATAATCTCCTCGAAGAAATGGCGGGATTTGCAATCGTTGAGCGCTCAACGATGAAAAGAATACCGGACCTAAGATCTCCTATGGACGTATGTGATCTCCTGATGCTTAAGCTGGATTCAGGTTGCTAATATCACGGAATGGGCAAGGTCGATGAACTATGGGACTCGATGTGTCAAGCTGCTGTGAGCTTGATAATGAAGGCTCTTCGCGAAGTTGATAATGCTGAGAGCCTGCTCAAAATCAAGAATCTAATTGCATTGTTTATGCAAACAATGAACGTTTGTTCATCCGATTCTTATGATTAATATGGAATTTTGTACTAATTCATGTCCTCTAGACATGGGACTTCCCTGTCGGCGTCTTTGATACGTTTTTATTGACACTTTTCGAAAAGTATGCTGACCTTCTTAAGAAGAGGTTTAGTGACGATTTTCAAGAGGTGTGCCCGTGCCTTTTCTAGACGAATTGGTATCCACATTGCTAAGAGACTTTTAAGATCGTTTCGACCGACGATTATATGCCCATGCCGATACAAACAGTTGAGGAATATGAGAAGGTGCTGAATGTCAGCTGGTACAATCCAGAAAAGCCACACAAAGAACAGATGTAAAAATTCCTCTCATTCAACCTTGATTTAACAACCAAGCCACTAACTCTTCTATCAGGTTCCCTTGCGTCTTACCATTCTCTCAAATGTATCCGCTGTGCTGCATTGATATTCGCAATTTCCTGAATCAATTTTACTTCTTCGCCAATGATGATTTCCCTCATACCAATGTGATTGATGAGACACTCAAAGACGTGAGTGGCGTACTGACAATAGATATTATCTGCAAGCTAATGACGTAAGGCACTGGATGAACTTCTTTCGAATAAAGTGTGTGACACACTTGTCGAGCGTCTCTCTTCCCAGTACTTGGGACAGATTGTGCAGATTCTTATCAATCTAGAACATTTTGAACATGCATGCCGCGAGCTCGAGTTGCTTCTTGCAGCGGCAAGATCACAGACCTCTTCTAGTGAATTTGTGAAGCTGAATGCAACAGAAAAATTCAAGAACAATAAGAAGGCGGCCGAAAAGCGAATCTTTGAGGTAGTCAACTCTAAGATTGATGACCTCATTGAGACAGCTGAGTACGATTGGATGGCTCATATTCCGCCTACGGAGCCGAGTAACTACATGCAAACACTGACCAGGTTCCTTTCTAACATCATGAACTCGACGCTCCTCGGCCTCCCTACGGAAATCAAGGAGCTAATATATTTCGACGCCCTTAGTCATGCAGCAAACATGATCCTAGTTTGTCTCACTTGCACACTCCGAGAAATTTATCTGACATAACTCAGGCACTCCCTCTTTCGTCCGATGTGAAAAAAATCAATACAAATGGGGTACTAGCTCTCGCTAAAGATGTCGAGTATTTATATCAATTTGTCGACAGCCTCGGCGTGCCCATACTACGGGAGAACCTTGACGAGCTGCAGCAAACAGTGCAGTTGATGCAGGCAGACAACACAGATGAGTTCTATGACATATCTACGCGAAACAAGAAGTACGGACGTGTAGATGCCATTAACGGCCCCGTCCTTCTAGAGAAGTACGTCAAAGCTAAGCGTGCCGAACCCGAAGTGAAACATGTGCTAATCGATCTGAGAAGGATTATGCGCACTGTGCAAAGCGCTGCGAAGACTGATAAATTCGCTACCTTATCTTCGAGATTCGGAAAGAAATCATGAAACATGATACAGTTGTCCCGATTCTGCTATTTAAGCACATCAAGCAATTGCTGGATTATGTCTACTCAAAACATGACAGAGAGGGCTCATCCATCTCAGGCTCTCAATTCGCCATTTCTTACCACTAACCAAAGCGTATCAACTCTTCCAACTCCATATAACATTCCAAAGGTCGAGGAAATCGACTCAAGCACCCTAACACCCAAGCGAGAAACATAAATCATAATATCACTTGTTTGGAACACTGATTAGTCCATAAACTCATTCATAACGATAGCCTCAGTGATACCAATCGAACCCTGATAATGTGACATACCTGTTGCGGTGGCATATGCGGGTAAGCATACATTCCGTCGAACATTTGAGGTTGATGCCCTCCATAAGCCGCGGTAGGGTCCGACTGTACAGCACCGGCATACATTGTCGGCTGTCGGTATTCCGGATCTTGTAATCCGTGCTGGCCTAGCGAGCCATAGTCTGGGGGTGGCATATGGTGTGAAGTGTGCTGAACTCCATGCTGGGCCGCTGGCATCTGATTTGCGGGGCCGGCAGCGCCCGATGCGCTTGCAGCTGCCCCAGCAGTCTGACTTGAACGCTTCGCATGCGAGGTAGCCTCCTCACGAGGTACTATATCAATGAGGAAATCAAACATATCTGATTTCGAAAGAGCTGCTGCGATGTCCGACCTCTGTAGTGTGCGCCGTTTATTGTCTTCAGCATGGATCCATGCGCGCATAGTAAGCTCGGTGATAAAGATGTCGCACCCCTTTGCAAAGAGGATAGGCGCTTCGGCTGAAATCATCTTTACCTCCGGGTCGGCTTTCATCACTTTCTTGATACGGGCGAGCGGTAACTGATGTATCTTGTAATCGTGATTATCTGTCTCGAGGTGGTTAATAATGTGCTGCCAGTATGTTGTCAAGATATCCCGAGCCGTTCCTTGCAGCCCTTGATTGACCTGTCCGTTATTAGTTACTTTCAAAGTGCAGCTGCCGAAAACCTCTACTCGCATTTGCCCAAGTGCCCGTATAAAGCTCGGCAACAGGTGCGAACCCTTGCGCAGATAGCTAGACAGATTAAAGCAGTGGTCAGTGTCGGAGTGTTCGTAGTCAGAGCCTGCTCGCAGACAAGCCCCGGAGAAGTGGGGAGTCCTACAGCTGCACTTGCTCCTGTAGAAATATGCGTCAGCCCAATCCTCAGGTTATGGAGACGTGCTGAGTATGTAGGGAGGGCCAAAGGTTATACCGTAATGCCCCCCATTTCTGGTGTCATATACAGGCTGCTGTCTGCCCTGCTGCTGTCCAGCACTTTGTGTAGGCTGTTCCATTTTGCGAAGCTCGCTGTTGAAAATGAACTCGAATTACATGCAAATAGAATGATAGGGTTGTTCTGATAAGGTGAGAGAACGCAGATTAGGTATGGTAGCGACGAATATATGCTGAATAGTATCCCCGCGCCTAACGGTAAGAGTAAAGATGAATAGTAGAGATAATAGGAGTGAAGACAGATGCAAATGCTGGGTAGCAGTCAGGAGAAGAGCTGGGTAAGACAGTAAGTTGACGGCCCATCAGGTGGATGAAGTTGGTGGTAGCGTGCAACAAAGCCGCGCCAAGCTTGGCAGGCTGTCGACCTCGGAAGGTACGTACGTAGGTAAGGTACTATGTAGATACATCACTATACGGATCCCTGCTTACTATTAAATCACGGCACGTCGATTGTGGACTTTTCGAATCAATGCGTATCATGACTAACAGCTTTCTCCAGGTTCATGATACTAACCTGGGGACCTATTTGCGAATAGGCTTAGCCCACCATTCGATTCCATTCTATGTATTCACGTGCGGTGCAGACGCAACACAGTACCGCGACTAGTTACAGTACAGTGCTGATATCAGCTAGACATCCCAGTGCTTACTCTGACATCATGGTGCCACATGCATATAAATCAGTCTGTACTGTGTGCATCGTACCATTGGTCCCCCCCCAGTTGATGGGAGTATGAATGATATAGGAAGGCGGACCGAAAACAGTACCCATGCAGATTTCCAAGCATAGGCTTATGGAACTTTACATTCGTATAAGTTACCATTTAATTACACTGTTTAGCAATCTAAGGCGGATTCGACACGCGCGCCCGGACTGTAATGAAACGTATTGGCCAGTAGGACAACTCAGTTACTGGTACTGCGGGCCCCCACTGAGAAAATTTTCCTCAACCTAGCCGATGTTGTTCCAGAGTCCAAAAAATAGCTCGACCTCTCTCCCCCCATAAATACCGAGTTTTGATTTTGCTTGCTCACTTCTTTTGCCTCCATCCTTAACTCTTGCAAGTTCAATCCAACGATAGAATCGTGCAGTCTGGTCATAAGGACCATGACAGGGGCAACGTGCTCCAAATTTGATGACCTCCCAATACAGGATGGCATTGTCTTAACAGATCAGGAGATAGAACAGCTTCTCCTTGAAGCTGAAGATCGGCTCCAGGGTTGCGATGGCGAAAGACCCAAAGAATCTGACCAAATACAGGCTGCAGACTTACTCTCTGAGCAAAATTTGATACGGTATGTCTTTCGGCGGCATCTGCTCCGAGTTATCCTCTGCCTTAGTATGAAGCTAATTCTCTACTCGTCAGGATACCAAAATTGTCTGGCAGTACGGCTCTTGAGCCGTATTTCCACCCCAAAGATGATGTAGCATTGGTAGATACTGCCAGGTTGCTGACTCATGGAGACTACAATGATGGTCATACTAAAAGGCCAAGCGGAGCTATTGACGAGTCAAAGAGCTTGAAGGTAAGAATCACGATCTCTTTTGTTGCTTGTTTCAGTCGTTCAACCCATCGCAATGAGGAAAATATCTCGCGTAAGCGCTTGATACAGCTTATCATCCCGTACTGGGCTGCGCTGTGCCAATGGAAGTTCTTTTATGTTTCATAGTTACTCTGAGCAAATTTCTGTTCGCAACCTTGAGATCTCACCGCAAGGAAAGGGTTCAAAGGCTAATTGCATCGAATTCCAGATGAAACCTACGGCTGGTAGTGACTGGTTTGATCTGCCCAAAACCGAACTGACAGCAGAGTTAAGACGAGACCTACAACTTCTTCGAATGCGCTCAGTCTTGGATCCTAAGAGGCATTATAAGAAGGAGAACAGTAAAGCGCAGCCCCCCCCTTTTTCTCAGATTGGCACGATCATTGAAGGTCCAACGGAGTTCTTCAGTGGGCGCATCGCGAAAAAGGACCGTAAGAAGACATTCGTCGACGAAGCATTGGCACTGGAGAAGGAGACCAAACGCTTTGAGACCAAGTACAGGGACATACAGGCCACCAAACAAAGTGGTAAAAAGGCCTACTACAAAACTCTACGCTCGAGAAGAAATACCAGAGGGAAGTAGACTAGCTCGAAAGTTTATGGGGGGTTCGTTCTCATTCAGGGTCAAGCGATGGCGTGCTGTCACTGGACAGGGCACTTGGTTTATTTATCTAAGCCCTGGGTCGAGAATCTCGCGTGCGCTTACCGAACAGGGTCGTCTCTCCCCCAATCCGCGAGATCGCCCCGTTAGCGCCTGTCGGATGGTGGAAACCCGAAAGCGACTGTCTCCATCACCAATTTCTGCACACGTGTTAATTGACATTCGGCTCCAAGGAAGAAGAACGCGCATACTTGCATGTCGATTGCTGCCGAGCGACCAGCGTCAAGGACTTCTTGATGGTTAGCCTTTCCTTCCTGCATGATTGCATCCAGCTCTTCCGCCCTCTTGCCTGTGAGCAAACTGTCATCACCTCGGGGAACTGGTTCCAGAACAGCCTTATTAGTCACGAGACTCAATGCTAGGACTCGCACGCCGCAATGCCTCGCAACAACAATTTCTGGAACAGTGGACATCCCCACCAGATCGGCGCCTAATCCGCGGAGCATGCGACATTCTGCTCTGGTCTCATAGCTGCACCATTTTAGCTGTGCAAACAGATTATGGGATTACACCGCTCACCTTGGTCCGCCAACAAAAGCATATATACCCTCGTGGAGCCTCCTCTGGTTGTCCGATAGATCCATTGCGGCCCAAGCTTTATGAACATGGCGGCGCAGGTCGAGATCGTAGGCATCAGATAGTGGAGGGAAACGTGGACCGAATTCTTCGGCATTGGGCCCTCTTAGTGGATGAATGCCTGCCAGTCCAGAAAGGAATAAATGCTGTACACCTTTCAGAATAAGCCACTCTTTTAGAGCACAAGGGTTTGTCCACTGACGTCGTTGAGTAGCACAATGTCTCCCACCATATAATCTGGGTTTAAGGCCCCCGCGGCATTGGTTACTATCACCATTGGGGCGTGTTAGTTTTGAGATATGAAAGGGCAATCACCCCTGCCGTACCCTCCTCCATCTGCCTGAGGGGGAGGGAAGACTGACAGATTATTGTGTCAATGCCAAGTAGCTTGAAAACGCGTACAGGAAATGTCACTCGATCAAGAGAATGGCCCTCGTAGTAACTGTGAACAGGTCGCAGTCAATCAGCAATGCATGCAGTCATTGGACTTAACGAAGATGGAGGTTTATCTCACTGAGCTCGGCCCACCATCAACACTGCAGGGACCTGCCCGTTGAGGCATCCAAAGACGAGTTTTCCTGCGTGGCCGGCAACTTATAGATGTAAGGTAAGCACTGAGCTTTAGGTAGGGACGAACTTGTGGAGCCTAAAGGGTACCTGTTAGATGAGGGAAATGAGGGATTGACTTGAAGTCAAATTCGGCTCGCGGTTGGGCGTCAATTGTGTTGGCGAGCCCGCCCAAGCCAGAGCCACAGATTATGGCGATGCGAGGGGCTTGCAACGGAGACGGCAAGCGATCTTTAAAAAAGAGAGCCGCTTCACACGCTTGCTCATATGAAGAGTGTGCCATATTTGGCTCACGAAGACACTTCTAAATAGAACACTGGATGAAAGTAATAAGTCACGGCTGCTGCTAGGTTAAGAAGGGCGGGCAAGTCACTCCGTAGAATACACACACATAACTCAAATAATAGGTTGGTTGTTGAACATTAGTCAAGGAAATCGATTAAGTTACCGCTCTCTGGACTGTGTAGAAAAGAGTCCCCAAAAGTGCAAGTGCATTGTCGAAAGCCCCAAAATGGATTTCGAATAGAATCAGCACTAAAATCCATCATGCTATTCTAGAGACATTGAAGTAATTAGGCTCTCTGTCGAGACACTAATACCCTACATCATTTTTGTCGCCATAAGCTTTATCACGTCCACGTCTACTCATATAAGGATATGCAAAAATATAACAGTACACATAGTTCAGAACCAAGAAGTTATATGCCGGTTATTAACTAATGAATATCATGTAATTGTCCCAATCAAGAGAATGAGTTCATGGCTAGATTAGAAGATGAGCACGGTATATACACCTACCCAGTATTATGCAGGTCTCCCCTTGCACTGCTAACTTACCAGATACATTGACCCTTAGTACTTGAAGCCTCTACACAAAGAGGATGGAAATGACTTCAAAGAATTAAAGCGATCGATTCCACAATGATTCTGATGACGCTTAGATAGATAACTTACAGTAATGTAATTGGTAAGCGAATGGGCTCGGTAAGCAGGTGGGCTTCTGCGCCCACCCAAACATATCTTTATAAAAAGATAAAGCTTATATAGTCTATATATTAATAAAATAATATATTTATTTAGTATTCAAATATATTAAATATCTTATTTTTATATATCTAATTATTCTATACTCGCTGTAGTAAGATAGTATCCGACAGTAAGATTATTCTTTATTTATAACTGATTTTATAAACTGACTTCTACTAACTTAATCAGTTTTATAAATTTATTTAAATATATTTTTAATTTTTTAATAGTAAGACTGTTCAAACCGGCTATTTAATAATAAGATCTTTTCTTTTTAATATTTTATTTTTTTAATTTAATTTATAATTTATTAACTTTCTGTTTAAATAAAGCAGGTTGGTTAAAGACGATTTTATAATTTTTTATAATATAAAATAATACTACTTTTATCTATAAAAATAAATATTTTATATATTTATAAAAGAATCTTTTCATTATAATTATATATTTTTATAATTATTTTATATTTTTAAATATTTTTAATACTGTTAATATAGTAATAATACTGTCGGTTAGAGTAGACTTATAAAACTGTATAATTAATTTATTAAAAATCTTATTCAGCCGGAATAAAGTAATTTTAAAATTTTAACAAAATTATATATAATTAATTTTTTAAAAATAAAAAAATATATTTTTAAATATATATTTAAAAAATTAATTTTGTTAATATAGTAGATGTTTTAGTAGATCGGTTATTTTATTAAATTTTTATAAATTTATTTTAATAATATAAAATAAATAATATCAAACGGTTGATAAAGATATAAAAAATATAAAAATATATTATTTTTATTTATATATTTTTATATTTAAAGTTAAATAGAAGTTATATTTATTAGAAATTAAAAAACTATATTATTTAGTTTGTTAGTTTTTTATAAAAAAATAAAGTAATTATAAAACTAATATAAAATAATCTTATTAAAAAATCTAATTATTTAATAATAAATTAATATACTGATTAGATAAAATAAAGCTTTGATATTATATTTTAATATAAATTTTTTAAAAAATTAAATATAGTAATAATATTATACCGGCTGCGTTGATATAATTAAAAATTTTTTTTAATTAAATAAAAATAATTTACTTATATTATTAGATTTTATAATAATATAAACTGTAGCTACTATTCTTATTATAAAACTAGTTTTATTAGAATTTTAAATATTTTAATTAAAAATACTATATTTTTTTATAATTTTAATACAGTTGAACTATTTAATTAAAAGCTTCAAATTTTTATATTTTATATATTAAATGTAATATTTTTAAAAGAATTAATTTTGTAAAGCCGGGATATATTTAATAAAATTATATATTTATTTTTTATTTATAAAAACTGTATAATTTAAATTATATTTTTAAAAAAAGAATTATTATTATATTCTGTATATATAACGGTCGAAGATAGCGCTTATTTTATAAATAAAGAAATCTAATTTTTTAAAACTTTTTTTTAAAATTATTAATTTTATAAAGTTAGTATATATATCTGAATATAATTCAACTTCTTTAATATATTATTATAAAATTAAATATAGAATATTGAAAATAGCTACAGCTTTATTTATAAATAGAATTTTATTAGTTTAAATAGTTTTAATTATAAGATACATACAGTCTTCTTATTCTACTAAGAAATTGGATAATTAAAATATAATTAATAGAATTATTAATAATTGAATTACTTTAAGTTAAAGAACGTGAAAATAATACACGTAGAAGTCTACTTGCTTACTGAGCCCACTTGCTTACCGATTACATTACAGGAAAGGAAATAGCTAACTAACTAATGTAATCGGTAAGCGGGAGGAACGCGCAAGCAGATGAAACACAACTGTTTACTATATAAAAAATAATATTTTAAATTCTGATATTTCAGCCAATTTTAACAGTAGCTCTCCAGAACTTAAGATTTACTTTTTTATATATTTTAAGTCTTTATTTATTTTATTTCCAACTATTTCATACTATAAGATGCACAGATAATAAAAATTACCATATATTTTGAACTTAAGTATTAAAGAGGAAATTGGGATATTAGACTTATTAAATTTTATGAAAAAAGAGTATCTATATCAAATAGATATAAAATATCTGAGAAGAGTATGAAGATGGATGGATTCAAGCTATTTAAATATTTAAACTGCCGGCCGGAAGACAGTAAGCTATTCAGCTAATAAAAAATCAGATTTTTTATATATATTTTTTAGCTTACTATAAGATTTAAAGAGTTTGAAATTATTTAAATTATATATAATTATTATAATAGAAAAACCTATCTCTTTAATATTAAAATATTAGAATAATTATTTTAACAGAATTAATAACTACTATTAATAAAATAATTTTAAAAAATATGATCAATTTTTTAAAAATAATATTTTTAAAAATAATATAAATAATATTTAAATTATTGATTTAAATGAATATTTTCATACTATAAAATCTGGTCTAAAGGTAGTTTAATAAAATTATTTATAAAATTTTTTTATATTAATATATTAAAAATATATTTTATTATTTTAATATATATTTTTATATAAAATAATTTAATATTATTTTACTATATTAGTTTTAAACTTGTAAATATATATATAAAATCAATTATATTATTCAAATTTATATATATTACTATTTTTTATTAATAAATAA